GATCTGCACAAGTGGATCCCTGAACTTTAAAGAGACCAATCACATGAACAGCCTGAAAAGAGTTCCCCGGAAGGACAGGGCCATTATCTGTATCAATTTCAAACTGGAGCCCCATTATAAAAAAGTACTTCTCTTTGGAAGACGGTCTGTCCTCCCAGAGGTGCTTTTTATGATTTTTCAACATGAGATGAATGATCTCCTGGATGACGAAGAGCACGTTAAACAGGCCAAACCTTGAGAGTTAATAGGTTGCTGGTTATTTATTATAACAATGATACGTCTGTGCTTTCAAGTATGCAGCAATTAATAAACTCCCTTACCACAGGACCCCAGCGTTATCCATAATATTGTCAAAACCATTCAAGTGGCACTTTGTCTCAACAGAAGCAAAATGGTATAAGGAGAAAACATTTTCTTTGTCTTGGGAAAATAGAGCTATCGGTTGAGAAATAACATCCGTACACTGCATGAGCTGGCTTGTAATTCATCTATTTTCTCACTTTCATGGTGTATTTTGGGCCCAATTTTGAAGGATTCCAAGAAATCTAGAGAAGGCTGGGTTCTGTATGGTCTGTAACTATTTTCTGCTTGTTATGAGTATGTGCTTTTATTCTAAGAGACTTAGGTCATCTTCTCATATTTGCTGCTGACTTATGCTTGTTGCCCTGCTTTTCAAATTTGTAAAGAGAAGAACAGAACTCAGCAGAACTTTTAAAGGAAATATCTGTCAGCCACAAGTATGGATTCAGCTATTCCAGTACATTTTGTGAATGTGTATTAATTTAAAAGTTTATTATTTGTTTGTGTCTGATACTTTTTTTTTTAAATCAAAATATTTCACTTATACGTATTTCAAATACAATTTCAAGACAGACCGACTTTTTTTGAAATTTCACATTGTTTTAAATATTGCAATGTTGTAAAAAGATAATGTGAACACCAAATTTTCTTCAAAAAAGTTTTTTTCAGAGCGACTAGTGAACCAAAAATGTCGTTATTTGCTCAGCTCTGTTTCTTCTACCACACTGTAAGGTTTCCTAATCCATTTGCCTTGAAAAGTCTGCTGGCCGAAAACTGGAGCTCAGAGAATGTCCAAAATCCAGCACAGGTCATTCTCTTGAGTATCTTGGGCCTAATTCATGAGGAAACAATTAACCTTTCTACACAAAAAGATAAGACTGAACAACAATTTTATGCCCCATATGGTTTGCTTAAAAACTGTTAGAAACTCATTGTGGTAATGAAACTAACTGTAAACGTTTCCGCAGTAGGGCTGTACCTCCTCTGGGGTGGGGACTGCCCACGTGCAGATGGCTTGTCGGGTGTCCCATGTTCCTTGGAACCGTGGCAGCATCAAGAATAACAATCGCAGAATGCCCAAACGGTAAATACATACTAGAAACAATATTTTCTAATTTATAGTATCTTAAATAGTATGTCCTACATGGAAATAGGTACGTCTTGATCATATTTCTTCTTCTGCTGGAGACAAAAAGAATCGTACCCCAGCAAGAGTGAACAGGCATTAGTCTAAATACGCGCAGCACTGCCTTAGCGTGCCTCCAAGAGAGCACGTCTCTGCCACTGACGCAGAAAGGAAAAGATATTATTGTGGGGCCTGGTGGGTAAGAATCCAACTTACTGTGGCACAAGAGGAGGAAAATGAAAGCAACAAACGTCACGGCTAGCCAGAACAGAGGAGTAGCTATTTTCATTTGATTTTTGGTGGTGAAAAAAGGAATGACTAAGCAAACTTGCCATTTGGAGAAGTGTGGGTGTCATAGCTTAGATGTGAATGATTAATGGGAAAGCACATACGAAAAACAATTTACAACGTCCAACAAATATGGAAACTAGTCTGCAAGATTATTTTTAATTTAAGTTTAAAAGTTAATTTAAATGAAAATGAAATAACAACACATTATATTTGTATCGTGTTAACCAACGACACTCGAACTCTAATTAAGCACCAAGCATTAAGTAGTCAGTAACAAGGAATAAAAGGTAGATATGCCGAACTAATACTGAGGCAAGCGCACAAAGGGCCAGAACAAAAAGAAATGTTAATTAAAAGATAATGTCAGAGGGATAGAATGTTTTCTTGGGATAACAGTCTTCCGCTGCTAAATAAATACCAAGGTGAAGTCCAGGCATCCATCAAAACTGAATGCCAAGCCAAAGCCAGCATATTTTAAGAGGAAAGACATTTATCTGGAACTCTCATAAAGAGACATTACTCCTCATGAGAAAAGAGTGCTTCTGTACATTTATCCTTGGTTTGATAGATATTGCTGCTCTTGATGGACCATTTTTCATGATGGTATTATTGATTTAGCTGTACAACTGTGTAAGAAATGCTTTTTGTATATATTCAAGCAGGATTAGTAAAGTACACTTAGAACTTGCCTTTTGAATTGAAACTAGCTTATTTTTCTTGTGTGCCTGAACTTAGGGATGGTGTTCCTGGGGTGAATCTTGACCTGACAAAATCAGTGGGAGTTCTGCTGCTCAGTTAGATAGTATCACTATTCCGCCTTTGTTTTCCTCATTCTGCTGCTGACCTGCTATGTCTCTTCGCCTACTGGTATCTTGTTAATTTTATTTTATAATGAGAATCAGATTTTCCTATCCAAAGACACTGTTTGTGTGGAATTGCTTTGAGGCCCTCTATATAAAATCACGGCAGCAGCTGGTATAAAAATCTGAATATTGGGGTTGAATTTTTCTAACTCCCACAACATTAGACCAACTGCTTTTCCTGTCACCTCTCAGTTCCCTTTATCAAGCGCCTTCTGCATCTGATCTTGCATCATCCTGTCCGTCACGAAGGTCGCGCAGGTTCCTACACCCAAGATGGCGTTAAAAAGATTTTCCCCAGAGCCGTGACAGCAGCACCCCCGATTCTTCCACGCGTGACAGCTGACCCTCCACCTACCCCCTGCAAGTGGCCTCCCCGTGCC